CAGCACCAGCCATTTTCGCCGGCGAGAGTCTCTTCGGTAACAGCTCCGAAGAGAAATTCCCCAAATGAGAGTCACTTCAGGTCAAAAGAAACATGCATTTGGAACAACCTCCATGAGAATGTTTCCCGAAAGAAAATCAAAGAGGCTGAGGAGGAGGAGGAGAAGAAGAAGAAGAAGAGGCGAAGAGAGAGAGAGAGGTATAGTGTATACGGAAAAGTGGGTGGCAGAAGCAGTAATTATACCGTCTGACAAGGATAATTATTTTACCTTCCCCTGCCCTTAAAGGCTCTTGTCTCTGAATATTTATTTAGTTTTGAAAAATCAAATTAAATAAATATTTTACATTTTTACCATTACTCTGTATGAGACAAAAAAAAATAAATCATATAAAATATAAAATACAAGCGATTTTTTATTTTAAATTTTGTTTACGAGATTTTGAATATACATAGTCCTGGTTCGAGTATGCAATTAAAATTGACAACCTATGATAAATAGATTTTCAATATTTGCTTTCATGTCAAAACTTTTAAAAAAAAACAAGCGGTAAATCTTTTTGTACACAAGAGTAAATAAATAGTATCATTTTTTTTATTAAAACAATGAATTTTAAATCATTATCATTGTTTGGTGTATACACCTAATAATTTATCATAACATTTGTTTGCAACTATATGAAAAATATATATAATCTTTGTTCTTAAATAAAGATAAGTTAATTATTTAAAGTTTTTTGGTAATATTATTTACAGTACATTATTGAATTGGGAATTTTTTGGAGTGGATGTAACTATTTGGCTCTTCATGGAGTTTATTTATTTTATTTTACTTTTCCAATATCAAATTTAAAGTTAAAAAATAATATATTGTCCTAGTTGTACGTTATTACATGTTTCTGCACAGCAGCAAAAATCAATTCAAATTTCATTTTTAAATATTTACGACTCGAATAAAAAGAATTATTGATTTACTGAAAATTCGTAGGAAATAATTTTTTTCTATATTATTTTTATGTTGCTCATCGGCTACATGTTACTGATATTGACGTTGCTTATTTTATATTTTTTTGCCAATAAACCTAAACCGATTTTCCTTTCATAGAATAATATTTATCCTCACTTTCTAAATAAATAATTTCCTCAAAAATACCAAACCAAAAAAAATTAAAAACGAACAACTACAACAGGAAAATCCTTTAAGAAATTAATACATATATATATATATATGAACCACATTCAAATATAGATAGTTACTATTTCTCATCAAAAATGCCAAAAAATATAATAATATAATAAAATTTCCATGACCAAAATTGGAATAAATATTTTATGGACCCGTATAATAAAAACTAATACTATTCTTTAAATTTGAAATATCTGCCTTATGAATTCTAAATGTTATTAATTTTTTCAACTGAAAATTTAAAATAATTGCAAAAAGAAGAAATTATAGTGATAGATTTAATCAAACTAACATTCGAATATTGATTTAATTATAAAAAAAAACTTTGCATATAAAATATCTATGATAGACATCAATCCTTATTATATTATATTATATAGAGTGGAGGTGAAAAGTAGAAGCATGGGGAAGAGGCGCTGTAACATCAAAGTAATGATAGCAGTAATTATAGTAATGACGGCTGTTTACAAAAGCTTCTCTTCTCTCTCTGCTTTTTTTACTTTTTTTCTTTGTACGACAAAAGTAAAAAAAAAGGCTTTAATATTCTTGTCAATATATTTGAATTTATAATTCTACATATAATCGGGAAATTAATTTTATTTTAAATTTAATTCAATAAATGAGAGCACAATTAAAAATTAGGAAATTTACACTTTGTAATACTTGTAAAAAAGTATTTTCAAAAACTAAACAGAGAATTACCCTTAAAAACTATTTTCATGAGTACCCTTAAAAAATCTGGAAAAATTACTAGATATCTTTAATTAATTATATTAACAATACGAAAAGATTTCTGTATCATAGTCACGTTATTTTGGTAATACGGAATTAAATTTATAAATATGATAATAATTATTATTATTATTAATTAAAATTTTTAGCAACGGCAAAAGGAATATTAATATTTTTTTTAGTGGAAGGGTGTGGCGATGCAGAGCGCAGCGAGGAACACAACGTAGCAGTCGTAGCGCACGTGACATCTGCCCATTTTCCAAGTATTATTAAATTATTTATAATCCAATATTATTTCATAACTATATAAATGCAAAAATAAAAAAGAAAATTACATGAGCCTTGAACAAGGCTAAATTAAATAGATCGTTTTATTGTGATTTTATCACTCATAATTAATAATTTGATATAATAGTTTTCGATGTCATAGCTCAAACATTTTCGAAATAATGAAATATTTTCTAAAAATTTGGATTAGATGAATAAATCATCATTAAAACCAATTTGTAAGTATTGAAGATTACGAGATCAATCAATACAATTATTTTGATTAAAGGGAAAAATGAGAAGAAAGTTTAGATAATTGTTTTATTCATGTCAAAATGAGAAATTGAATTTGTTTAATTTAAACGAATAAAGCTAGCTAATAAGTTTAATAGAAATAATATTATATTAGTAAATTAACTACAACTTAAATATATTACAACTTTAATTTTTGAAGAAATTTTTTATTTATTACGTATTTTATTTTTCTTTTTTTTCTGAGACAATGGAATACTATTCTTTTCATGAGCTGAACCAATGTTTTTTAAACCCACATGTTAATTTTTATTTTTCTTTTTTTGAATTTTTAATTACCAGATCGCATCCAACAGTACTACTCCTTCTCAAGGTATAAGACAACGAGTACAATGTCTTATTCAAGAATCTAAGTACAAGTAGAATCTTAAACTTTTACTAATTATAATTAATTCAATAATCCTGGATTTTTTTATAAAAAAAAATTGGCCAACGGTAACTTTATTAATATACCAACACGATACTTACATAAACTAATAATATGTTTGTTTCCCATAAATAAGTTTTACATATGTTACAAATCTGCAATTGTGAAAATATTTGTTGCGATTTTACTAAAAAATTTTGGTATATTTTGGGATGAAGTTAATTATTTAGAAAATATTTGCTAGATTAAATCATCTAATAATTTTTATTTTTATTTTAATCAATTCAGTGTAGTCTAATTTATAGATTTAATAATAATAAAAAATAAATATGTTTATTTCTATCTAAAATAATTATATATTCCGAAAGGGTTAATCCCATAAAAATTCTCAAACTTGTTTAATACTAGAAAACTAATTCCCAAACTTGCACAATGTTATAAAAATTACTCAACTTAAAAAATTTGTCATTGTAATACCTAAACTTGTAAAAGACTGTCAGAATAAAAATTGATTAACGATGAATACAAACGGCGTTAAATAGAACTGATTTGGCGGTACACGTATGATGCCATGTCATATTTTTTATGTCATATCATCAAAAAAAATTTAAAATTAATTTAGATCGGTTGAATCGGTTTAATTAAAAAAAAACTTTCTTCCATTATTCCGCTGCACCACATTATTCCTCTCCCTGAAACAAATTTCTTTTTTTTTTACCATGATTGAAATGGCAGAGCTTCCATCATTAGATTTTGAAGATGTGAAGACTTCGTGTAATACTCTCATGAATTCTTTTAATTTTGCGATCTTCGAAATGTGCTTCAGGCTATTCAAAATTTTTATCAAGATCTGAATTGAGAAACTCCTTTAGGTCTCCAGATGCAACACGTTTCTTCTCCGTCGAATTAGGAGACCAGTTCGACAATAGAAACAATGGCTCGAAGAGCTTCATCAATAGTTTTCTCTTCCTTTCCATTGATGACGAATTGTAAACCCTCTAAATGTCATTTGCGAAACTTCGGAAACTGTCACCAAGATCAACCATTTCTTCTTCTCAGAGGAAAATATCAAACATTTGCTCTCAATTAAAGCGGGTCCATTCAAAACTACAACAAACCAAAACCAGACAAAAGCCCCAGTCACCCCCGAAACTCCATGATTCAGCTGCAAAATTCTAATTTTGAAAAATCCAGAAAAGAGTTCAATAGAAACCCACAAAAGAATAATGAAGAATGTTTCGAGGAATTGGAACAGAGAGATCCTCACAGAGTAGTTTCGACGAAGAAAATAAACCATGGAGCAGTTCGACGGAGAAAGGAAAAAAGGAAAACTTTATTTATTTATTTTATTTAAACCGGCCTGATTTTACATCAATATATTTTGCTGATGTGGAATAAAAATATGAGGTGGTATAATGTGTGTATTGCCACGTCAGTCCTATCTAACGATTTTTGTGTTCAACGTCAGTTAATTTTTATTCTGACAATCTTTTACAAGTTTAGGTTTTCTAATGGAAAATTTTTCAAGTTGAGTATTTTTTATAGGGGAATGCAAGTTTGGGAATTAGTTTTCCAGTATTAATCAAGTTTGGGAATTTTTATGGGATTAACCTATTCGGTGTTTGGGAATTTTTATGGGATTAACCCTATTCCGAAAAGGTGAAAAGAAAAAATTAGAAAATTTTTCTGTATCTCTATAATTTAATTTTAAAAAATAGAAATATAATTTCAATAAAAAATTAACCAAATATGTCATTTAACTCGGAATCATGTTTTAAATGAATAAATTGTAAAACGTAAGAGATAAATCCTAGAAAATATAATTAAATTAAAATATATTACTCATAATTCCCTAATCAAATAATTAGTTTAAAAAACCTATAATATTAGTGATAAAGTTATTTAAAACAAATAAAAATCCTGAAATATTTCAAATGTATAACAAATTTAGAGTAAAATTATTGAAATAATGTTATATGTACAACAAATTAAGACTCTAACAATAATCTCGCAACAGATATAGACGTGTCTCCAAAAACACATACGTTTTTTAGTCATTAACCAAAAACATATATTGAAAAAAAAAAGATAAATTTAAACTATTTTTCTCCGATTACTATATTTTTTTACTATTTAATTTACCAAAAATTCAAGAAAGATTATATAAATTAAATTAATGGGACGCCTTCTTCAAAGTTGTGGATTTTCAACTATTCAAAATGTAATTAATCACTAATCTCTTAAATTCTATAAATTAAATTTTTATATTTTACAAATTTAAAGCTTAAAATCTTTTAGCTAATTCTATAAACCCCTTTAACAATTTTAACTCTTCAAACTCAAAATTTTTAAATAAATTCAAATTTCTTTTTAATCTTTTAATATAATTTAGTTACCATATGTAATTTTTCGCACAACTTTTTTGTTAATTTTTTCGATGTAATTAATCAGAAAATAAAATCGAAAAAATATTTAAATTCAGTTGTATTTTGTTCGAAAATAAAGTTCAGAATACACTTTCTTACTATCTAATAGTTATAAACAAACTCGCGTCTCTTAGCTTTAACAATTTCAAAAACTGCATCCTATAAGTCTATATTTCTAACTAATTGATCCATTTTAATTTTATAATCCCAATTATCTTAATTTCACAAATGGACCTATATACTCAATGTTTCTAAACTCACCCCCATAAATTCGATAAATTACCTAAAATTTTTATATTTTATTATTACATGCAAGTTGCACACTTTCATTAAGTGCGTGCCAAGCTTTTTAAGCGAAGAATTCGAACTCTCCTTTTTCTTGGTTCTTCTTTCTTTGAAGACTTGAAAATATTCCAATATGTTTGTATATATATACATATACATACACACACACATATATATATATAGGGTATTTTATATGATATATGGATGTGATGGGTGCAAAAATCAGTCGACCGTCGGTTGGTCCGGTGGTGAGCACGAGGTACACGTCGTTATCGGAGGAGACGGTGGTGGTGAGGCGGCGGCCGCATGTTGTTAACGGCGGAGGCTTCGTCGTGACGGATTGCAAGCAAGACGTCATCTTTAGGGTTTATGGTTGTGGAGTTCTTGGCGCCAAAGGCAAGCTCCTCTTGAAGAACGGCGACGGAGCTGACTTGCTTCTCATCCACAAAAGGGTTAATTTCACGTTATTTCATTCAACATTTCTTTTTTCCCCAACAATGAAAATCACTTTGTACCAAGGTTATAAGAATTGGGTTACATAAATATTTTAAATTGTAACTGAATAATATTATTTGGATATTCGGTATTGGTTTCAGGGAGGAATGTTGCAGGCAATGAACATGATACACAAGAAATGGGAAGGCTATGAGTATGACAATGAAGGGTCACAGAGGCTGGTTTTCACACTCAAGGATCCAAAAGATTCATGTCTGGTTAAGACCGGTTCAATCAGAATCTCGGTTTATGGTAAACCGAAAACCGGTATTTTCGAGAGCGGCTACGTCGAGATCGAAGGCTCGTTTCCGGATAGAGATTGCAGAATTGTTGATTCGGATGGAAGAACCCTAGCTCAGGTGATGCTTTCTTCTTCTTTTTGTCTTGTAATGCGTTTCAGGTTTTGTTCATAGAACTAATCAACCCAAAACTCCTTACTAGACTTCGCCTCGTGCCGTGTCTGTTTAGATCCCAAATCACTCTAGGAGGATAATAACGGAGAAAAAAATGTTTATGCTTGATAACTTATTTTAGTCATATATCATCAAAGAAATCATTCCAACTCCCAAAAATTATAATAAAGTATCTAAAATAGTTCTTATATTTTGTAAAAATGTTTAAAATAGTCTATTTTCAGTTTCCATGTCAAACTTTTTTTTTTCGAATTTTAGGTTTTTTTGTTAAATTCGAATATTAGGGTTGCTTTGGAGATATGGATAAAACATTTTTTTCTTACACTTTTTTTTACTAAACATCATGAGTATTTTAGATCATTTTTTTATTTTTAGAAATTCATGGATATCCAACGTAACAAAACAATAGATTAGAATCTAAATACGACTTATGCATGCATATCTAGTCTATAAAACCCGATATCAATTTCATGATCAGTCAAAAACTTAACCAACAGATCGGATTGACTATCCAATTTACGGGTAATTTTGACCCATCACCTAGCGGGATGAGTTTCAATGAAATTCACAACTTTTTTTTTCCTAGATGGAATGTGAATCACATAAAGGGTATATAATCGATTTGCAAAGTCGAATAGATTCTCTGCTGATTAATGAAAGAGTTTAAAAAAAAAATTATTGCAATGAAATGGGAGCAGGTGGGAATAAAGAAGGAAATGGTGGGGAGCAAGAAGGATCTTTACCAAGTCATTGTCAAACCTAAGGTCGATAAAGCTTTCATCATTGGACTCATCTCCATCCTCGACTACATCCATGGCGAATCCACTATATGCTGACCATGCACTAATGATTTCATTTCATAAATGTTTTTAATGTAAATTAAGGAGTGATCTACTTGACCATAACACACTAAATCTAGAGAGTAAAGAGTTGTACAGCCGATCTCTAATCGATTTATCCAGTGAATAAAACTCGAATTTTTCGAGGTGGAGTTATCGCATTCTTCAAAGTTTTTAGCTTGTCGTTCACATTTCCAAAAAGGTTAGGAGATTTTATAAAGATGATATTGTAAATATTGTATAGAGTATTTTCATGACTAGTTGGAAAAAGATTCCTAAATAACAAGATATGATCAAAGAAAACATGTTTTTTCTTTTTGTAATTTCTCTTGATGATTTGGGTGCAAAATATTCGAAAATTTAAAATAGAAAAAATTATTATTGTAATTTTAACAAATTAATTTATGAACATGTTTATCATACTGCACACAATAAAGAATCATCAAATACATAAAATTTCTTATAAAAAACCGTAGTCAACCATCATATTCATATGATATACAAAATTATCAAAAATATTTTTAAATACTATAAAGGGTTAGAAAATATAAAAAAAATTGAGATCAAAAGTCGAGCAATTTCCTTCAATTCCCAACAAACATATAAATATACTAAAGCAGGAGCCAACAGAGTTAACGAACTTGAACGAGGCAAAAAGACTAATCTACCCTTAGCGAAACGCTGCATCCCCCCCGTCTTTCGTCTCGTTGTTTTCGTCGGTCGAAAGTCTCCGTCGGAGTCCGGGGGTTCCCCTGTTTTTATATTTTTGTTCTTCCACTCTTCATACATGCGTTCTCGGTTCCTGTGGGCTGGGGTTTTGGAGCTGACTGTGAAGCATCCTTTCCCCCAAAAGCTGTTCTACCAAATTTTAATGGCTCGTGACAAGCATTTTGGCATATTCTGTGTGTTTTGATTGAAGTTTTTACTTGAATCTGAAACCAGATTCCTGTCTGAACGAGAAGACCCTAAGCTTTTACCAGAGACTCTTTGAGAAGAAAAGTTAAGGAGAGATCGAACGCCGTTATGCCCCCGAGGGAGGCTGTCGTGTTCTGATGGCCCAGCCTTCAGGTACCTTTCCGGTACCTAATACTAGTCGAGCCGACAAGGCTAAAAAAAATGGTTTATTGACCAGTTTCCACGGAGATTCGATAACCGGCTTATATTACTTGTTTGTTAGACCGCTTAACCGCATAGAGTTCAAACTGCCCCGAAACCAGCACGGTTCTGTCCTATTGGTCAGTGACTCTCCCCCTCGACGACACCGATCCTGCAACTGATTACACTTTGCATCTCGATCGCCCACCGCCATTTTCACGCCAGTATCTTCACAAGATTGACGGTTCGGTACTTAAAACACGGGTAGACGAGTCACGGTTCACCGTAAGTATTCTCTCGGCTTCCGTGCCATCCCGGGTTGGAGGCATTCTATAGGATCATTTCCCCGAGGCTTTTATTCGGTGTGGAATTCAACACAGGAATGATATCCTGCAAGATGAGTCGAGCGATTACAGTGCCGGACATTCAGCCATAGGCGTCGGGGTTATGCTTCTCGACGTAACAGCTTTGTCCCGAGTACAAGACGAGGGTCACGTAACAAGGGCTTTGTCGCTCTTGTTACTTGTTACGAACATGTCTAGGAACTTTCTGTAACTTTGAACTTCTGTCTTCAACGCAAATCTAAACCGAAAGATAATTTTGATAAGAAATGCATTTTTCTTACATTGTCTCGGAAACATTTGACCAGACATCAAACGTTTTCCGTGCCAGTTTCTTCGACTGCGACTTCTGTTTCTTCTTTACCGTCCGAATCCGTAAGCCTCTGATGTATCGTCTCTTGGATCTTCGTCATGCCCTTCTCCACTGGTCCCATCGCTTGGTTTATTGTCAGCACCACATCCTTTACAACCTGAACCCAACACCAAGACAAAACCCGGAAAAAAAAATCAAATACGAAACCCGAATCTCTTAAACCGAATCATACGGAAAACGAGTAACGTGATTTCCCGAGTCCTACATGATGGCCACCGTCGACAACTATGTCCTGAACACTCTCTTTCACGCTTGTTCTCGGAGTCTCCACCTGAATTTCCGTTTCCTCGAGAACAGTCGGCGTTTCCTTACCATGTTCTTCTACTGTCACTTTAGATTTGTTTGTTTCGGTAGTGACCATGCCATTCCTGGGTGCCGTTATGTAACGATAAGGCTCGATGGGAAATACAAAGATGTGAGCCACGGCTGCGATTGCCATCTGCTATGCAAGGAAAGTGAATTCGCAAGGGTTTAGGGTTTAGATCTCGCTAGAGTTTAGGGTTTACGGGATTCCGGAGTTAACCCGACAAAAAAGAAGAAAACCAAACCCTAACCTCAATACATATGAGAAAATCCTGCAACTCGTCCTGGAACTTTCCTTGCTTAGGAAGTAAACCGTAGTAACAAAGCAACGCAATCCCGACGCCTTGCCACCAGGTGGCGAAGACGATAGCCTTAAAGCTGATGAATTTGGCGAGCGGCTTTATATCCCGAAGGCGCTCGTGGGTCACGTTGTAGAACTGCACAAGGCAAAACAACGCCCACATCTGGCTGAAGTTTATCACCACGGTTATGTACGGATATCTACAGAATTATATAGATCACCTTGGGTTAAAAAAGGTTACGGTCTTAAGCGTCTCGTAGTATTCAAAACGAAAGTTACGGGCACATACCCATAATACCATCGGAATTCACCGTCACCATATACCCCGAAGAGCTCCAACAAGAATGCCAAGAATGCGCAAACGGTCTTGAGGATCATCTGTGACAATTACCGAGATCGCACATGAACCGTCAACTATATATGTAACTGGCTTGAACAGGAGATAAGAATCGGGTATATGGGCAATATAGTAATTGTGTATATACGAGAATTAACTTAGGTTTCCGACGTGCTAAGACTACATATTCTCGGTAATGTACACTGCAAAATAGAGAGTTAGTACGCAGAAAACCTACCTTGAATCAGGTACATACACAATTATTATATTGCCCTTATATCGGGAACTTACATATTGGACGAGACCAAACTTCTCGATAACAAAAAGCTCTCTTCCAAGGATGTACGGTTGACACAAGAATTTCCGGATCGGACTGTGATGCTTTTTCTCGTCCTCGTTAACTCTTTCTAACAATGGTTCCTTCTGTTTTCTTGATTCGTGTTCGAGGAAGTCAACCACTCTTTTTTCACCACCTAATAAGCATATACAATTCATCAACTGAGCGACGTAATCTATACGACAATGTAGAGCGCGGAATTCTCGTCCTCACCTAGACACGCGACCAGGTAGCTTCCGAAGGAGTACAAGGCGAATGCTTCATAGCAGTTTCTCAGAATATCACACGCCAGAGAAAGTTTCGGATCCAACAACGAAATTATCTAAACAAAACCCGGAAAACCGACAAGAATTAGCTGCAGATACATGAGTCTTCACGACATTTTTAAAGTGACTTCAACTACATACGAACCGAGCTTTCTATAACCACGGGCCGGCGAAATTTCATCAAACAAAGCATCCAATGTCAAAGCTCTATGCATTATGCATAATTGCAGTGTGAAACCTGAACTACATCCATCAAGGCACTCGGTAGTCGGTATCATTGCAAAGCCATGGAAACAGAGGGTTTTGCGGGATCGAGAAGCTTACTGATTCGGAGGCGTAGAAGGGCACCATGAATAAAACGGCCACGACCCATTTTTGTTCCTACACCGAAATTTGTTGTCAAGAATCAAAGTTTCTTCCTTCTTGAAGAAATAACAGTCTCTCGTATTTACCAAACACTCCAAATTGCAGTAACTTTGACTAATAATCACCAGAGAACTCCATCAATACAGTAATTGCAGTAACTTTGACTAATATTAGCCCTATTGAACACACGAAATCAGCCCTAAAACGAGCAAACCCATGAATGCGAATTCCCAAAGTTTCAATCTTTTCACACGAAAGTTCATCACGCACTCCATAGTCCATAAACATACAGATACGTATATATGTGTGCGTAAAGATGCATAGGAAGGTACAAACAGAGGGGTTGGTGTAAGATCGGAGATGCTGGAGAATGAGGAAGAGTGAGAGGCAAATCGCAACGGCGGCGAAAGATCCTCCGACGATGGTCGCCGGAAAATGCAGATGCCTGTATGTCCTATCCTCGCTCTGTTCACTCATTCCTTTTCCATCCAATAAAACGAAACCCTAAAAAACCCAATTGCCGACGAGTACGATTGAGTGATCTCGAGGTGCTGAATCGGTGAATCTTTACATCAGGTGATGAGAACTTTGTTTGGTGCGTGTGTGATTTTCGGATTAGGGTTCTCTGTTTCATGTGCATGTGGTTCGGTTGACGTGTTCATGCGCTGTGGAGACAGAACTGAGTTTGGGGACACGTGTCCGACTACTCGAACACGAGAACTGGTTTTGAGAGGAAAACTCAAAATGCCTTTTTTGATCTGTTTTTCCGTGAACACCATAAAAAAAAGTTAAAGTTACGACTGTTTCTTTTTTTCCCGCAATTATTCAATATTTAAAGAATTATATCAAATGATTTTTTTAGTCAATAAATTATTAAAGAAATGCAGTCTCTTCTCGATAATAAATATTGTTTCTGGATATCCAATTGTGGATGATCCAGTGGAATAAATGAAACCGATTTTGATGTATAATTTATTATCACACTTAATGCTCAACATCATTAAAATTAGTTTTAATTAATATAAAAAAACTAATAAATTTTAGTTTTTTTAACTAATAACTTTCCATAATAAAATTTCTATTATTCTATTAATATCTAGTCCACGATTACGTGGAGATTTTGTTTCCAATCTTAATAAAACACATTAATATTAATAGTAGATTTCATCTTGATCTTTATAGTGCTAATGTCACATTTTACGTAGTTTCAATTTATTTTTTTTCGTGTATTTTAGGTGTGAAAACGCCGTTTTCATACAAATTTGGCGGGATTTTGACATATTGATGTAAAACATAACTCCTTTATCAATCTCTAATAAAAATAAGTTTTTTTGGTTAAAATAATAAAAATAAGTTATCCACCATAAACCAACTTCTATGTTTTCATAGAAACATTCAATTTTGTGATTTCATTATATATATATATATATATACACATACACACACACGTTTCACTCATTTATTTCCCTCTATTTCTTAAAATATTACGTCAATTATTTATATATTATATCAATAGGAACTATCGTTCTGATCATACATTTTTTCCCCATCACTATCAACAAAAAAAATATGCCATTTTGAGTAGGGGTGTCAAACGAGCCAGCTCGGATCATTTTGGGCTCGGCTCATTTGGCTCGGATTGTTAAAACACCAATATCATTTAATATTTTCAATTATCACCATCATAATAATTAGTATATTTATAATATCATATAAATAATATGAAAAAAATTAATATAAAATTATATTAGAGTTTTTTTTATATAAATTTAATTTATTTTTAAAAAAAATACCAGCTCGTTGAGCAGCTCGCCAGCTCGCCGAGCCAGACTCATTGAACACGTGTTCAATGAACTCTGGCTCGTTAGGCTCGTTTTTTAACGATCTGAAAAAATTACGGCTCAGATTGCTCGTTTTCTGGCGAGCCACGAGCCAGCTCACGAGCTGGGCTCGTTTTGACACCCCTAATTTTGAGTACCTGAAATATGCCAAGAGAAAACCCAATTTTTTCGTGGAAACTAAAAAAATTAAAGACAAGACTAGGTCAAACCTTTTTTTTTTTTTTTGTCTGCATCTATATAAAAACAGTGGTTGCAAGAAATCTCGCTTTCAATTTAATTTCAAAATAATTAAGAAAAATAATTTTAAAACTTAATTTAAGCTATTTTTGGGATTTGAAGCCAAAAATTGCCAACTAGGCTCCTCAAAGACAAGAAACAATGATCATGTCCGATTTTTCGCCCAACAAAGACAATCCAAAGAAGACATTAACCAACAACGAAGCCACCGGAGAAACACGAAAACAACATCATGTACCATAATCATCGATCTTCTTCATCGTGATCACGATCATGATCATCATCGTCATCGTTCTTGGACAGCAGCTTCTTTGATCTCTTCATCAAACCCGATCAATGGCTGCTTTTCCCTCTCCATTGTCCATCGGTGTCATCTTCTTCTGTTTATCTCTCCTTCCCCCTTCTCTGCAGCACATGAACGAGGCCGAATCTCTTATTCGGTTCAAGAACACAATGAACATAACGAAAGGGGACTTGAATTCATGGAGAACAGGAACTGATCCTTGCAATGGAAAGTGGTTCGGAATCTATTGTCAAAAGGGTCAATGGGTTTCAGGCATTCACGTTACGCGTCTCGGTCTCTCTGGTTCTATCAGCGTTCAAGACTTGAAGGCTCTTACCAATCTCAGAACCATCAGGTTGGATAACAACCTGCTCTCGGGTCCCTTACCGCCTTTTCACGTTCTTCGCGGCCTGAGATCGCTCTTGCTCTCGAACAACAGTTTCTCGGGCGAGATCTCCGATGATTTCTTCAAGGATATGCCTCAGCTGAAGAGGGTTTTTCTCGATAACAACGAATTCAAAGGAACAATCCCCACGTCTCTGATGCAACTGCATGATCTTGAGGAGCTTCATTTGCAAGGAAACCAGTTTTCGGGTCATATTCCCTCGCTTACTGATGCCAACAAGATTCTGAAATCCATCGATCTCTCTAACAACGATCTCGAAGGAGAGATCCCGAAGAGCATATCGGAGAGAAAGAATCTTGAGATGCATTTCCAAGGAAACCAGAAACTGTGTGGACAACCGCTTAATGTTGTCTGCCAGCCGTCTGTTACAAGAAACTTAGATCCTAAGACGGAACAAGAGCATAGTCAACACGCCATTAAAGCGATTCTTACATCAATTGCGGTTCTGATACTCTTTTTCATCATCGTGGCGGTAATCTCGAGAAGGAGAAGACGAGAACCCGACTTCCGGATGCTTGGTAAGGAACATCTCAGCGATAATGAGGTCGTGGAGGTTCGAGTACCAGAATCAACAGCCAAAAAGCCGACAGATTCGGGCAGAAAGCGCGATTCGGATGTCTCATCTAAGAAAGGATCTTCGCATCACGGGAAAGGCGGGGGAATGGGAGACATTATAATGGTGAATACCGACAAAGGTTCGTTCGGTTTGCCTGATCTGATGAAGGCAGCGGCCGAAGTGCTAGGAAACGGAAGCCTAGGCTCGGCTTATAAGGCACTGATGGCTAATGGATTAGCCGTCGTCGTGAAGAGGAACTGTCGACAGAGTCTTTTGACGTTGAGATGAGACGATTAGGGCAACTTCGTCATCCTAACGTTCTTACCCCTCTGGCGTATCATTATCGCCGAGAAGAAAAGCTTATTGTCTCTGAATACATGCCCAAAAGCAGCTTGCTTTACGTCTTACACGGTAAATAAAGACGTTTTCATGCTCTTCTTTCGGTTTCTGTATAGTTTTCAGACATATCCGTTTGCTTATTTTGTTCTAAGGCAACCTAGCTCCTGAATATGTTTCTGTCCAGGCGACCGAGGGATCTATCACTCGGAACTGACTTGGAAAACTCGGGTGAAGATAATCCGAGGGGTCGCACGAGGGATGCAGTTCTTGCACGAAGAGTTCGAATCCTACGAGCTTCCCCACGGAAACCTAAAGTCGAGCAACGTTCTCTTGAGCGAAAACTACGAGCCCTTGATCAGCGATTACGCTTTCCTACCGCTTCTACAGCCGGAAAACGCAGCACAGACTTTGTTCGCTTTCAAGACGCCCGAGTTTACGGAGAAACAGCAAGTCTCAGCGAAATCGGACGTATATTGCCTCGGAATCATTGTTCTTGAGATCCTGACAGGGAAATTTCCTTCTCAATACCTAAACAACGGAAAAGGTGGTACGGATATCGTCCAATGGGTGCAGTCTTCAATCGCGGAACATAAAGAAGATGAACTCATCGATCCCGAGATCGCGAGCGATACAGAATCGGCTGCGGAAATGGCTGAGTTGCTGCGGATCGGGGCTGCCTGTATAGCAAGTAACCCAGATGAGAGACTAGGTATGAAAGAAGCTGTTAGACGGATAGAACAAGTGACAACTTGATGAAGAAGAAGAAGCCGAAAAACTCAAACGCAAAACGCAAACGCAGACACTGTCGGTCCAAACGCTAGAATTCTTCGGAACCTGTAGATAAAGGAGGAAGCAAAGAGAGACAAAAACAACGAAAAGAAAAAAAGGTTGCGTGCGTAGGAAGGCAACGTTTTTTTTTTCCTCCAACAAAAATTTTCCGGATGAAGCAAACATGACCCAAGTTTGGAAATGGCAGATTTCTTTTTTTCTCGTTTCCTTTTTTTTTTTCCAATTCGTTTCTTTGTTTGCTAAGAAGTTTGTAATGTATATTCATCTTCTGTTACATATAGAATGGATTTTTATGCAAAATGATTAGGGTTTTCAATTTGGATTCCGTAAGCAAATCCGAATCGTGACGAATGGAATAATATATATAAACAACTAGTTTCTACCATGATTTTTTTTTTGTTTTTTTATGTTAACAACTTTGACAAAAAAAAAAAACGGTGAAAACTGCTATTTTTAATATTTATTTCAAATTACAATTTTCTCCTTCAAAAAATTGTTTTGTATTATTTAAAATAATTTGTTTGGGCAATCCCAGATTCTTGTGTACTGTTTAGTTATTTTCAATATTATTTTTTGGGTAAATTATTTTCATTTTTTTAACATTAAACTTATTTTCACTCTACATAAAAAAACCCCCCCCCCCCCAATTATTATTATCCATTGAGTAGGATAAATATTAGTTTATAAAACTGAAATAAATCTGTAAGAATCTTCATAGATTTTTTTTAAATATAGATTTAATTGCGAGACATAATTAGGTCTGCAAAAATTATGTTAACTTTTAGGGAAGAGACGCACGATATGAACACTGAATATTCTGTGGGCTCTTCTTCTTCCTCCTCGTTTTCATCGGCCTATGCAGCGACAACAATGGATTTGTTCCCTCAGCAACCCACCTTCTCCACTCCAACTGATCATCGTCAGACCAATATTCCTCGTATTGGGTACTTTTGTTTCCGCCTGTAAAAAGCTAGCTAGGGTTTTCCCCCCTTTATGGTAAATGACCGCCATTGCTGTACTGTTTGTTTCCTTGCATCGCAAGTTTACTCTGGTATGCGCCGGTTTCTACCAAACTGATTCTAGGGCCAAACATGCGTAACGGTTTGCCAGTTTCTATGATTTGGTCTCCTAATTCCACTTGTCTTAAGATTCTTATACAATCTATATTCTGGATAATTTCGTGAGATTATGAATCTGGTATGTTGTTTGAAGATGATTATCACAGTTTATGTCAGTTAATTTGTAATCAAGAACACGAGTTTGATCAATTTGGGCAATGTCTTTGGACCGTTTCCAGAAGGGATAAACCTGCGAGACTGGAGACTCAGATGGCTCAAATCACTGTGATATACGACGACAAGGTATTCATCTTCGATGAGGTTTCACCTCAGAAAGCCGACGAGATTATACTGTTGGCAAGGCCAGAAGGAAACAGCCGGACCTACTTGATAAATATCAAATGAGCAAGAGAATTTGCAGAAAACGCTGCTGCTTCATCAGTTGGTTTTACAAATATATATACAGACGTGATCCAACTTTGACCTAAAACAACAGAATGGAAATACTAGCTGTATATGCAGATATTTAGGAACCACCAAATATAGAGTTTCCAGAATTTGTTGTTGACTAACAACTTCCCATATCAAGCTCCCGTAATACCCCCCCCTCAAGTTGGAGCATAGATGTTATGGATGCCCAACTTGGAGAGGAAAACCGTGAACTCTCGTTGGCCGAGTGCCTTCGTAAAGATGTCAGCAAGCTGAGAGGCAGATGAAACATGACGTGTCGAAATCTGGCCAGATTTAATAAATTGTCGCAGAAAATGACAGCTGACTTCGATGTGTTTTGTTCGATCGTGGAATACATCGTTCGCAGCGATGTGTAACGCAGCTTGAGAATCACAGTGGAGGACCATAGGATCAGGATGTCGAACACCGAGCGAAATGAGCAGGGATTTTAGCCAGACGAGTTCGCAAGTAGCAATCTGCATTGCCCTGTATTCGGCTTCGGCTGAAGAGAGAGCTACCGTCGGTTGCTTCTTGGAACGCCATGAGATCGGGGAATTTCCGAGCTGGATGATATAACCAGAGAGGGATCGTCGAGAACGTGGGTCACCGGCCCAATCAGAATCACACCAGCCATATAGACGTAAGTCAGAATCGGATCGTAGGAGAATCCCCTGTCCGGGATTCAACTTGAGATACCGAATTACCCGTAGAGCCGCCAGCCAATGATCTCTGCGTGGGGTCTGCATAAACTGAGAGAGAGTGTGTACCGCATATGTAATATCCGGACGAGTGGCTAGGAGGTACAGAAGCTTGCCAATGAGACGTCTAAACGGTTCTGGATCTGGCAAGATTTCACTGTCGGAGATGCCCAATCGGTGGTTCTGCTCTAACGGGAATAATGCAGGTTTTGCAGCCAATAACCCAGCTTCTGCAATGAGATCAAGTGTGTATTTTCTTTGGCATAGAGAGAAACCAGATGAATTTCGCGCCACCTCAATGCCGAGAAAATATTTCAAGCTGCCAAGGTTCTTCATTCTGAAACAGTGACTGAGATAGAGTTTAAAATTTGTCATAGCTTGAGCACAACTTCCCGTGATCAACAAATCATCGACGTAGACAAGCACGTGGAGACGGGTGGTACCCTGTTTCAGAATAAATAACGAGTGGTCGGATTCAGTTTGAACAAAACCGTACTTTGTAAGAGCCGCAGCGAGCTTGGCGAACCAACACCGTGGTGCTTGCTTGAGGCCATAGAGCGATTTTCGCAGCCGACATACCAACTTCGGATTCGAGATGTCGAGGAGCATTCGATCTGCCAAATCGTCGTTTCAGATAATCCCACAAGTCTTGAGCCAATTCTCGATGGACAACATCAGATCGGAGATGCGCTTCGAGTGTATTCTTGATCCAAGAAGCAATTAATGCGTTGTTCGTATCCCAATCTTCGAAATCGGGAGAGAAGTCTGCCGGCTTTGGAATTGTACCATCGACAAAACCAAATTTCTTTCGGGATTTCAATGCCTGACGAACGTTAATCGCCCATTCATCATAATTATCACCACGGAGGAGTGGCTGCGACAACACAAGGCCGGGGTTGTCGCTGGGGGTCAGATCATAAGGCGAAATCGTACGTCGCGGGAACGGAATAGCATCTGCTGCATGTCCGGGTTGCGTCATTGGAGGAGTCTGGGTCGGTGTCGAGGAATCAGTCGGGGTCGGTTCGGAAGAAGCCATGAAGGTCGGAAAATCGGGTTTATTTGTGTTTGTTAAATTTGAAGCTCTGATACCATGATAAATATCAAATGAGCAAGAGAATTTGCAGAAAACGCTGCTGCTTCATCAGTTGGTTTTACAAATATATATACAGACGTGATCCAACTTTGACCTAAAACAACAGAATGGAAATACTAGCTGTATATGCAGATATTTAGGAACCACCAAATATAGAGTTTCCAGAATTTGTTGTTGACTAACAACTTCCCATATCAAGCTCCCGTAATACTACTCGCTGGAGAAGCAACAGCCCCCCACCACCACGGAAAGTGAATCAAGAAACTTCGTTACATCTCGGAAAACAAGTGTCCCGAGTTTCCTGAACAATCTAAGCCATCACCTTGCAGATTCCATGACAGAAATGACTTATTATGGTATCGTTACTATGATGATGTCTCCCCTTTCTTTTTTGAATATGTGTATGATATCAAGAATAGACGGCCGAATTGGCGATATATATCGAGAAATATCCTTCTGATCTAAACATTAGATCGATTAAGCTAAAACTAAGTTCTGATATGGATTATTTTCTTATATATAGATATGGTTGTTCATACTGCAGGGCCACCAATCGCCAGGAGAAACTCACTTCACAGGTTCTTGGAAAAGAGGCAAGACAGGTAATTAACTAAGAAACCGAACTCTGAAACATTTTGGTAGATGTCTGAAATGCTCGGCCTTGGTTTAGGGGTTTCGAGAGCTCCATGTTCAGAAGTAGTATACATTGATCTCATTTTTTTGCATCTGGTAATTTGATTTGGTAATCTTTTACTGAAATATTTTTCGAAAAGGTGGGTAAAATGATCGATGGCTACTGGATCAATGGTGAGAGCGTCGAAATAAGCCGAGGGCAAGTCGTAATGATTGCAGGATTCCTCTAACCATTTCTTCTTCTTCTTTTTTCCCATTGTTTTGTTTGTTCTTCTAAAACCCTAGTTTGATTTGATTAGATAATATCGAGTTGGAGGATGCACATACATTGTCATTTATCTGAAAATGGAAGCATTTTGGTCCGACACATTCATGTTCAAGCTCATGTCATATGTCATGTCATATATATATATATATATATATCCTGTCTGAAAGCTCGTTCCCGCCCTGAGATCATCAAAACGTGATATTGGACAAATCTTGAACAAACAATCAAACAATCTTGGACATTTTCTGTTTGGTAGTGATTCAGATTTCTGTTACTTTTATTAGAGGACACACACCTGAAGAACACCGAGATTTCCTCCCAACGGCTTCTCCAATCATGTCCGCCTCATCATCAACAGAAATCCTGGAATAATATTTGCAAATCAGCAAACTTCCTTCTTGTGACAGATTCTGATTTGCACATTTTCCTTTTGTACGTAACTTTCCTTCTTCATGTTCTCTATTTCTTCTTCTTCTTCTATATTGTATATATATGTGTATCGTCACATACAGATGAATCTCTCTGTTCCATATGGTATCAGAGCTTTGATCCATCTTCTCTTATTCTCAGTTTTTTTTAATCTCTTTGTTCATCCTCTGTTTCAATGGAAAACACGGCGCAACGGTTGATTCCGATGACCTTCACCGGCAACAATTACTCTATTTGGTCGAAGGCAGCCAAAACCACTCTCTGCAGTCGAGGGCTTTGGGAGCATATCAAGCTTTCGCCCCAAGCAACTGTGACTCGCGCAGATGGCACTACCGTGCCTGTTGAAAAAACTGCAAAGGAGCAGGCTACATGGTTTCAGGAGGACCAGCTTGTGCTCTCGTTGCTTCATAGCTCTCTTGAGGCTGCCATTCTCTCCACTTACATTCACAAAGACACAGCAAAAGATCTGTGGGATACCCTTGAAGGGGTTTATGGCAATCTGTCAAATTCTAGCCGAATCTATGAGATTAAAAAATCTCTCCATGCCATTCATCAAAGTGGGAAGCCCTTCAACAATCTGCTTGGCGCACTTAGTGCATTATGGGCAGAACTGGAAGAACTCCGTCCCGTCTCCACCGATGTGTCGGTTATCACCAAGCGCATCGAGCAAGATAAGGTTTATACCCT